CGACTACGGTGCATGCATGAGAGACGTCGCCGCGCTGGTCTGTGCCTCCGCCGCCATCGCCATGGAGGAGCCGCCGCCGTCGCCGCCGGGGAGGTCAGTAACCCAGAGCTGCCTCACAGGGAGCTCCGTGCAGGGAGCGATGCCGGGCGGGGACTGCGAGCGCCGGGGCCGGGGGTGCACGCTCTGTCTCCCGGCCCCTCCGCGCTGCAGAACCTGCGGCTGCCGCTGCTGCTTCAGCGCTTCTGCAGAGCTCCCACGGAGCGAGAAGGCGCTTCGATAAGAAATCTCTAGTGGCTGCGGTGGGTAAGGCAGTGTTTTGTGGGCGCTTTGCAATTAAAAGCAAGTAGTTTTTTTTCGCCCCCAGCCTCGCAGCAGTGCTGGCGGGTGTGCCGGAGCACTGCCCGCCCGGCTCTCGGGGTCGGGCCGGAGGCTGCAGAGAGGAGGGGGAGCAGCAGCTGGAGCCCGCGGGAGGCTGACGGAGCGTGACCTGTGCTCCTTGACTTGTGAACTGCAGCGATAAAAGCGCTGCCCTCTTGGAAGGGTGTCTCATTTTTATGGCAGCCGTGAATAAAATCGCGTTCTCTTTGGCCTGCCGGTAAAACAGCAGGGTCATGGAGTATCGCCTCTGGCAACATTGCAATCGATAGTTGTAAGGAGATGGAGTTGGGAAAAAAAAAACAAACAAAAAACCGCTTTCACAAAGAAGTGTTGTGATGCCTCAAAGCTTTCTGCAACTGCTGTCATCTCCTGAATGTGCTGACCTGCAGATTGGCTTTTTGCAAGTCTCCATCTGTGCCCTGCTGAGAGATGGGGATGCAAATTACTTTATGGTTTAGTGTTTCCAGCTGGCTGCAGAAGTATTGCATAAGTCCAAGTTATTAATTCCGTGGCAATTGTTTCTCAGTTTCAAATAACATCCTGTTGATGCCCTTTACTTCTCACTAGGAGGCATTCAGGAAACGTTTTTAAAACGCTTGTGTGATCAATTAATACTGTAAGGCAGTAGTCCGGTGCATTGTGTTCCAGGTGTGCTATGCAAAAAAATCTGCTGTTCTGTTGCTGAGCTCGTTCTTGAATATTGTGAGCTGCTGTTTTGTACTGATGGAATAAAAGGAAAGTGGTGATGTGCCCTTATTTGGGTCAAGGCTATGGGTTGAACAGGGCCTTTGAGTTTTCATTAACGTGCATTAGCAATTTGTTTTTCTGTCGTGAGAATACCAAAATCAGAAGATACATCAAATCAGTAAGATTTAACATAAATTTTATGAAATACAAATGCTATAGGGTAATTGAATTAGTAAGCTTCTGAGTTCCTTTTCAAAGGACTCTTCAAAGACTAATACTGCAGGTTAAGCAGAAAACGATTTAAAATCAAGTTTGTACAACAGCATGACCCTAGACCTGGGCTGTCTTAACGTAGAAGAGTAATCTTCAGAGCCTGAATGGAAAACACCCAGGCATTTCCTGTGCAGGGCCATTTCTGACCTCTGCTGGATTCTGCTTATTACAGGACAGTTTATGTGAGTCGGATGTGGGTGTGGATAATGTGGTGACAACTTTACCCAGCAAATGAAAACTGAATTAGCTATTTCAGAGTGAGCTGGTGGGTGGGAAGGGGATGTCTCAAAACAATTAGGTAGCCTTAATTTGTGTAGGGTAATGCATGTACTCCATCCACTGTGATTCACTTCTGTGTGTGCTTTGTGTCCCAACTTCACGCCTGCCTCTCTGCCTTTATGCAGCACTTGCTTTTACTTAAATGTAATACAAGTAAAGTATCTGAAGCTTTTTCAAACATTATTATTTTTTAATATTAAATTTTAATATTAAATTTTGGAGTCATCATTATGTGTTTATTCTTGGGGCTGTGAGGTCAGAATCTTGTTGAAGTCAGTTTACTTTGCACAGACTTGGGTGTTTGAAATCCTTTTGATGGCACATCGCTTTTAATCCTGTTTGTAGAGTATGAATGTGTTCTTATGATAAAACGTGCTGGCTAGTGCTAAAGTGCATTGCTATAATGCATTCTCTTTAAGTTAACGTTAGTTCTCATGGAGAAGTATTCAGTCATTGTGAATTAGCAATATACCTACATATGTTTAGTAAACAAAGCTTATTGATTTGTTGTTTTGAGACTGCCATGTGTGAGAAATCTGCTTGTCTTTGTGTGAGGAGTCTCTCTTGTTAGAATATAAATGCAATGGCATGTTTTGTCAACTGAAGGCAAACATAAAATATGTTTATAGCTTTTTTAAAATTACATAGTCCTTAGTCAAAAGCATTTGCTTGTGAATCCTTCTCCAAAAGCACACACTTTTTCCCAGGTCTTCCTTTCTTTCTTGAAGCACACTTTGGTTGGGGGAGAGAGGGGAGGCAGCTCTAAACTGATAAATGCTCAGGGAACCTACGAGCAGATGTTGATTTTGAGATGGAATTGCACTTTGACCCTGGATAGCATGTAGTGGTTATGGATAAGTGAAAAGATACTACTGAAGAGTTTTGTGAAAAATTCACATTTAAGTATCAATCAGTAAAACAAGTGGAAAATTTTCAAGACAAGATGTTTCCACTTGGATGATTTAGAATGCTAATAGAAACAGATGTATTTGGTGCTTCTTGATTATTACCCATAGGCTTTAAATTTCCCAATCCCAGGCTTTCCCAAGGATTTTCTGGCACAAAATCCATGATAGAGAAAAGTGAGGCCTTAAGAAGCATGTCCTTTGTTGGGACTTTGTCCTTTGTTTAGCGGCACTGGAAAGGCATGAAGAGCCATAGGGCTACCCTGACTTGTGCTTTGATTGCTTGTAGCCCTCTTTTCTCCTGGCATACATCCAGTGAAAGGGGTGAAGGAAGGACCAAGGCTGTGAGTAAAGTCAAACAGAATTGTGAATTATGTGGAAGTTTCCTCCTTGCTGGGGAACTTTTCTGTAGTCAGTAGTCTATCAGATTTGTTGTCTGTAGGATGACAATGAATTGGGCTGTCAGTCTGCAGCATCTGTGGTTTGGGGGAAGCCTGAGGTTATGTCATGAATTGTGCTCACCATATTTTCCTGCTTGCCAAACTATCTGTATGGCTGATGGTATATGAGCAGTGAAAGAGTTTATTTTATTAACAGCATAGCTTCAGTGGGAAAAATGATTTAAGTATATAGAGCTTTGCCATAGTTTTTTTTTTTTCCTCCCATGCATTTAAATGAGGTAAGATGTAATCTCTATTCTACATGTATTGCATTTTCTTGTTTACATGTGCAAGATTGGGATGAATGACTGATTGCTCCACCTACGCACAAACACACATGAAGTGCTAGTTGAGATGTCTTTGGCATTTGTTGCAGTAAGGATTAGTCTGTGTTGTGTGGCTGCTTGGGTTGTTTTTATGTCTGTTAATTAGTGCTGTCTGTGTCAAGGTTGGTTTTTCTATTATGTAAGCTAGTGATATTGACCTTTGTGGAATGCAAATCGTGCTGTGATGAAAACAAATCTACTGAATTTAAAGGAAAGCATAAGGGATGTGCAGTAATTCTTACTTCAGGGAGCTAGTTGGGATTTTTAGAGGCTTATAAAGATTTGGCTTCCATGACAACCACGCTTCTTAAGTTATATACAGACCATTCTTTTAAACTGCATCTAAAATACATTTAGAAGACATTTTTTCTTAGTACCAACTGTTAGTCAATAGTGTGTTGACCTCTGTCAGCGCAGGAATCTCAGCTCGATTCTTCAGTTGCATGGTTGGATTTGCTGTTGTCTACAACATTTATGTTGCAGAACTGTTACTTCAGTTTTATTCTTCTCTCAGATGTTAAGGGCACTGATGCTACATTTAGTCTGTAATTTATCAACTAAATAATTTTTGAATTTTAAAAAGTAACTTAGAAGCTTATTTATTTAAGGAGTTGATAAGGGTCCTATGCTCACTCTTGGCTTACTGCAAACGAAAAACCAAATGAGAATGTTTGTCTTTAACATCTGAATTTGAGTGCTTGTGAATTGTCACATGTTCACTTGTGTCCAGTCCAAGAACTCTGTGTGTAAAGTCATATTAATTTGTCATGAAACCCAATAGATTTATTCTGGAGCCAGACAAGATGGGATGCAACTATTGTGCTGATAAATGTCTCCTGCAGTCTTCAGGTAGAAGCAGGAAATTAGCTCTGTTCCTTCTGTGTCCTGCTGATATTCAGTGGTACTGAGTGTCATGTGTTGCTTTCTAATGTGTAAATGTACAATTTATTCTGCTCTTGGCTTACTTGTGCTGCTGGTTTACTTGCTTTTGCTTTTCCTGTAAGCAGTGTCTGTAAAGGTTTTTACCATTTTGGCTGTAGAACATCCATTCAGTTACTCATGCCCCTATTATTTCTTGGCCTCACTGTAGAACTGTCCATGGGTGTGACCACTGAGCTTTTGGGATGCTCCAAACAGTGCAGAGTACTGAAGTCCCATTGCATTGCATGGTTTTTCCAAACGTCAGAGACAAGAAGTCCTGCATGCTGTGCTTAGTCACCGGCTTCCATTGAAAATCTATTTCACTTTCAATGCTTCACCTTCAGGGTTCTTGTAGACTTTGACTTCATCTAAGTGACCAACTGAAACTTTGGGATTATAACCAGTTAGATTTTTCTTATGTAGGAATGGAACTTTCTTCCAGAAGAATAGTGTGTGTGGGAGAGTGGGGAATGATTGTTACAGTTCTTTTTGTCTTTAATCACAGGTTGGTGAATTTCCCAGTTTATCACTTTTATATATTTATAGTTGAACCTAGCAGCCTAACACTCTTTTCCCAGTAGTATGTAACTTTTCTTGGTGTAGCTTAAATTTCCCAGAAAATCCATGCAGATGTGTTAGTACAGATTTTTCATAAATAGTTCTTAATTAAGTATACTTTACTCTATTGGTGTGTGGCTTGAGACCTTGGGATTGGATCTGTGCAGGTGCCAAGAGCTTAATTGCTGCACTTACCCTTTGGATTGATACTATAGTACATAGTGCTTAAACATTAGTGAGGAAAACATATTTCAGAGATTCTTAAAAAAAAAATCAGTTCAAATTCCCAGATATGAGCTAGGATATAGTTAGGGTTGAAAAGGAGA